TTCTGTTTCACACTCCCAAAAAAGCTAGTATAGCCTGACTTCATTTGCTCTTCCCTTTACCATCTGTTCTTACAGTGGTATCTGAAAACCCTGTGCACTGGAATCATTCAAGCCTTGTTTCCTGTTTAACTGTTATTAGAAATACATCCTCACAGCTAACAAGCAGCACCCCTATTTTAAATACCACCCTTCCCCCAAAGCAGAGCTGGGAAAATCAGACAAACCTCTCGGACATTTTGCCATCACCCTGGGCAAATTCCCAATTTATTGAAAAGCCACCACTCTGGTAAAAAAAGAAAAAACATGGACACCTTGATGAAATCCTTGATTTCAAAAGGTAGCTTCTTGCAGGAGTTTAGGATCTCTGCTGTCTCCACCTTCACTTCAATATCCCCTGTTGGCATTTTCTGAAGCAAAAAGGCAAGAAAAAAAAAAATAGATTCAAAACTTAGGGAAAACAATTGGACAAAGGTAATTCACAGATGGTCAGGGGGGTGAAAAAAAACGTGTGATTATCCTCCTTGCCTTCTAACACAGTGTAACTCAGAGAACTTCTCTCAAGGACAGATTTCTCCTAGATTTCCCTTCTGTTCAGAAAAACACAAGTCACTTCATCAAAAATGGCATGTTCTTTCCCAGTAGCATACTGATCTGTACAAGAAATATAATTACTCTTCCTCTGCCTTCTCCTTGAAGGAGATGCTGAGCACAGAGGAACAGTCAGGCACGGGCCCTTTTAAGGCACATGCATTTGGACAAAATACTAGTTCCACTAGCTTCAATGAAACTGCAGTATGCATTTTAGTGTGCATTAGCAGTAGCAGCAGCAGCAGCAGTTTTTAGTAAGAGTCAAAAAAGGCAACTTGTGAGGAACTTCTCAGAACTGCCAGCTCTGAACACCAGTTCTCAGAACTAGTCTTTTTCTTAGATCCTGTGGGAGAACAGACAGCTTCTCCCACTTAGCACTGTGTCATATCAAACTTCCTTTGTTCCTACAGGTCTCTTTCTATTTACCAGGGGAAAGTATATGCAACCTTCCAACAAAACGATAAATGATTAAAAGAAATAAAAGCTTGGTTTGAAGCTTGAGTTCTTTATGGACATCTACAAGTCATCAGAGCAAAGCAAGTTACAGTCATAAATCCAGGCCTTCTTTTTAAGCATGCCAGTGATGGCGTACGTATAATCCTGACAGATTAATCGAAGGCTGATTACAATGAGAGCTGAGGACTGCATAACATTAAAACAATTCTGCAACCTCTGTTTCCTATACAATGAGAACAGCAAAATCTGTTCTGAGTGAGAATAAGGTCATCACATGCTGTGGAATTTGTGATGACAATACCTGTTTTCAAGAAAAAGAAATCATCTCAGCCACACTTTGAAAGCCTGAAAAAGCTAGCCATTATCCTTTCAAATGGCTGGAATACAATTTAATTCAAGGGTGTCTAATGTGCTCTCAGGTACTCTTAAGTAATATGTCATAACAGTTATTTCGCCTCACATTATCTGAGGATAGGCTGTCACATACCCAGAACCCATGGAAAAAGCTATGACACAAAACCTGCCATAATCCTACTATCCAGTCCTCTTTTCCACAAGGAATAAAACCCCTGAGAGACCTCAACATCCTCACCGGATTCTCCTGCCCTGGGGGCCGAAAGGAAACAATTCCAGTCACTCGAACAACAGACTCCACTGGGGCATTAGACAAGAGCTTCTTCACATGGGAATGTGCCTGCAAGAAAACGCCAATGTCTCACAGAAATTCAAAGAACAGGACAAATGCACCATGCTGATTGGGACTCATTTCTTAACAGCCTGTTTGAATCCAGGATCACTCCTCATCAATCAGAGGAAACAGCACTAAGTTTCTGTTGCAGTGTCAGATCAGGCCTCTCATAATGCTTAAATCTACTTGTGAGTCAGAGCACTCACTCTAACGATGTAGTCCATTCTGCTCTCCATGGCTGCTGGACCCAAGCTACCAAAGGAAAAATAAAAATAACGCTCATATTTTGATTGCACTTACCTCATCCTGTGGAATGATAATCTGGGTCAGTCCCTGAAAATCCCTCAAAACCAGAAACAGGCCTTGTCTGATCCATGAAAAACACAAAGGAAAAAGACTTTTTTCAGGAATTCAGTAGTCTTCTGCTTTTTAAGCCAAAACACATGGCAACTACCTACTTTCTGTACCTTGTGACTAATCTCAAAGCACTTCCAAGTAATGTATGTACAGATACTTTTCCCTCATCTGAATCTAATCTGAACAAATGGTTTCAGATTTTGCCCAGCCACACACAAACAATGTGCAAATAACCAGGAGAGACAGGATTTTAACTTGAACATTAATCCATGTAAAGCAGAGATTCTGAACACATGCAATTTCCTGCTAAAGAAATATCATTCAGATAAACACATTTAGATAAGCAATAAAATTAAAGTTCACATGGATTAAAAAAAAAATAAAAATCCAACCACAAAACAAGTAGAACACTGGTACTATAAAAAGTTTCACATGAACAATCCACACTCCTAGACCCAGAATCATATATCTTGATCTCTTCAGCTGCAGTAGAGACAGCTACCACTGTACTTAATCCATCAAGAAGCTGTCAAATGGAAGACACTCGGGCTGTCTTTAAAAGCAAGAATGCAATGATCGCATTGCAATAATGCAACTCTGTTTCCTGGAATTCCACCCACAATTGCTCAAAGATGAGATGTTCAAGATCTCTTCCCCCCAGCTCCAAAAAAAAAAATATCCATGCAGACCATCACTGCTGAACAACACTGGTTAAAACCCTGCCCCTCTGGACCGTAATATGCAAAACTTGACTTTTGATACAAATTATTGTCAAAGACACAAAACCTATCTCCATTTTACAAGCATATACCCAGGCTCAGAACATTTTGGAGCATCGTCCATGCTGTATGCAGACATGCTCTCCACCCTACATTTACAAAATGTTCAACTCTCCTAGGAGTGATTATATCACACCACCTATAGCAAACTGTTGGAATTAACATTTCACCCTCTGCTTACTACCTTTTCTTAACACTCCTTTTTTAAGCAAATCTCACATACTTTAAAATTGCATCATTAGATGCTGTAGCTGAAAAGACAAACAACATTGTTTGCTTAAAATTTCAGGACACTATATAAAAAATTATTTACTCACAGCTGTTAGAAATACTATATTGTTTTCTCTCCTATACAAGGGTAATAATATTTAACTGGCTTTCAGTGTTGTAATAAGAATCAATTAACTTTCATAAGAAACTCTGAAATTTTAAATACTGATTTGGCACAGTTCTCAACTGGTTTACTTGCTTCAAAAATGACTACTGCAGGATACGTGAAGATAACCTGAAGCATAGAAGTGTTTGAATCTACACCTACAGCATACAGCAGATCTGGCAAATAAGCATCTCCATTTTCACCTTGGTTTGCATTTACCTTTGGTACTGAATCCATCCATATAGTGTGACCTCTTGTCCCACATGAGCAGAACGCAGTTCTCCACAAGTGTTGGTCCGAGTGACAAAGCTATTAAAGTCTTGAATAAAATTAATAAATTTGGGGGGGGCTTTTGCAAATAAGCAAGACAAAACAGAGTCAATCCCCCAACACCAACATATTTTAGACATATACAAAAAAATTACTCCGTATGTCCCCAATACAATTGATATAAGGCATTAAAATATAAATATGACATTGAATTATTCTAACTAAGTTTTTAAGAGGAATTATTTCTATGTCAAACTTTCATACAGAAATCTAAACAGATCCTTGCTGCAAACTGTTGCCCTACAAATGTCAGGGACAGGAGAAAGGAAAGCTGCAGATCAGTCCTACAACACACTAATTCCACACTTGAGTCTAAAACACACAGCACAAAGGGGGCTTCACAAACCAAAACTGAAACATACTTATGCTTATTATGTGGGTGTAAGCTGAACAGTTTCCTGCCTGTAATGACTAGTAAAAGGCGTGAGCCATGGCTACAGAAAACTTTCCACAGACCCCAGTGTGGCTGGCGTCATGACTTAGTTACAAATCCAAGCACACCATTTACAGAACATGCAAGTTTCAGCTTGCAAGGGGAAAACTGAAGGTTACTGTTACCTAGACATATGCATATATGTGCATAATAACATGAACTAGTCTTCCTTTACTACTTTAATCACAGCGTAAAGGCTGTGGAGGGTAAGATGGTTTGTTTTCACATTAAGCACCCAGCTGTCCATTGTTTATAGACTGTGTAATACCAAAAAGAGAGAAAACGGCAAAGTAAAAGCTCAGGGAAAAAAGAAAATTGGACAAATTAGTTTTGATATTCTTTCAACCACAAGTGACCGTGAGATGCCAAAAGCGATATAAAAACATGATTTTGGAGAAAGCCTTTTAAACAATGACCCAGGGAAACCAGCGCAGGCTAGGGAAGCCTGTGCAGACCACCGCGGCCTGGGTGCCAGGGAGGAAGAAGCACCGCGGGCCCGGAGCGGGCGGCGGGGCCCAGGCCAACGCGTTTTCCTCACCTGGAGCCGCCGGTGCCGAGGCGGAGGCCGCCCGGCGCAGCGCCCGCCCGCAGCCCGGCCGGGCCAGCCCCCGGGCCAGCAGCCGGGGAAGGGCGGCCATCTCCCAGCCCCGCACCTGCAGCAGAGACAAGAGAGGGGCCGTCCCTCAGCCTGCGAGTCACCAACGGGAAGGGCGAGGGGGGAAGCGCCAGCTCCCGACCCTCATCCGCTCCCCCATCTCCCAGCGGGGAGCAGAGCCCCCACAGCCAGGGCTGGGGAGCGCCCCCCCCCCCCCCCCAGACGCAGCAGGCGGGTCACCTCACGATAAAGCTTGCTTCCCCCCCAGGCGAAAAACTCCTCACCCCCAAACCGCGGCAGAACTAAAGAAGCCGAGCCCCGCCGGCCAGCTGCCCCGCTTCCGCCCGCCACAAACATGGCGGCCGAGGGCGGTGGCGCGCGCCGCTGGGGCTGACGGGAAAGGCGTTCAAACCGCGGCCAGCGGGCCCGAGGATGGAGTCGGACAAGAGGGCGGCGCGGAGGGCGCCCAGCGCCGGGCAACTGCCGTGGGGGCCGCAGCGTGGGCTCAGCACCAGCAGCCGGCTGCTCCCGCCGGTGCTGCGCTCCCAGATAGGGCCGGGGGTGCGTGTGTGTGTGTGGGGAGGCAGCGGCGGGGGGGGGGGGGTGAGGCCTACCAGTCCCCTCAGCTGGGCTGCCCCCCGCCGGCCTCCGGGTGTCCCTTCGCAAGCCCTAAAGAGGGCAAACTGTTATTTTTTGCTAGGCTCTGATATTACTTTCTTATTTAATTTATTCCAGGAAAACATAAATTCCGAGAGTACAGTCTTTCTGCTGCATAAGCAGTGGACCTTATACAGCGTGACCCCTCTGCACAGATTCAGTACCGCTCACCTGAAGGATTACTCTAGACTGCTTGGTGTTTCCATCGCTGCCGAGAGGCAGAAGGGATTGGCGGTGGAAATAGGGGTTGAGCTGGACATCAAAGCGGCTGTCTCCAGCCTTCCAGACCTGAAGGGTAGCGACCAGGACCATGCTGCGATTCTCGTGCAGGTAAGGAGACTTCCTTGCTGTTTTGATAACTGTAATTGAGGCTTGCATATTAAAAGGTTTTTTTGCTGTCATCAAATGCTCTTAAAAAATAAAATACTAAGCACTGGCTGCGTGAAATAAATGCTCTAGTATTTGTTGGGTGTCTTATTTTCAACTGGAACAGAACATCTCATAAGCAATGAATATGTCTAACTGCAGTTTTGAGTTCAACTCTGATAAAATCAGAGTAAGGCTGTAAGAAGCAATCTTTGTCTAAGTTTTCAGCTCAGCAGTCCATTTATTGCAAGAACTCTGACAGGCTATTTAACTTCCCAAATAAAGCTGGTATAATCCTATCTCCTGGCCACATCTTAAGTCTAATTAATATTTTTTGAATGCTTTACCTCAAGCGAAAGATGCTACTGAAATGCCAAATTCAGTATGACAATGGTTATAGGATGTACCCTGGGTTGACTCTTTCAAATTAAGCAGCATAAACTCAGATCTCAGGACATTCCTGATGAAGTAAAAAGTGCTTTTCTTCATGTTTTCAATAAAATTGCATGCATATTTTAGGAATGTAATGGATAGACTGAATAACTGTGTGAGCTTTACAGAAAAGAATGTCGCATGCGAGGCTCTGAGAAAAAACTTCTACCAAACACTTGAAATTATAAAGCAAAAACTGGTTTTGACTAAAAAACATCAAACATGCTTTGTAGCATTCAAATGCTTCTTTTCCCCATCCCAGCTTTCTTCAAGATCACAAGCTTCCCCACAAAACCCAGAAGGAAAACTGATATGGTCAGGCTGGTTCTGCTGTGTGTGTGGAGATGATTTTTCCAAAAATGTGCCAGAGGACTTCACTTGTTTGCCTCTGTTTCTTGCTAATGGGGCAGAGTGTTACACAGCTCTTGTTGGAAGTTGGTTTCAGAAGACTTTTGACTGCTCCTTCCGCCGTTTAGCCATCAGCCCTCTCAATCTCAGTTGGATGGCAGCTATGTGGACTGAATGCACAGAGGAGAAAACTGCACGTGCCATAGAACTCATCTTCTCCGTCCCCTGTCTGCCTCAGCCTCTGGACATTTCATACATCATTCATCCAGAAGATGCAAAAGCTCTGTGGAATACAGTCCAAAAAACTCCAGGAGAGATCACTCAAGAAGAGGTGGATGTCTTTATGGACTGCCTTTATTCCCACTTCCACAGACACTTTAGGATCCGCTTATCAGCTACAAAACTGGTGAAAGTTTCTACAGCAATTGCTTCAGCACGCTGTGATGGGATTATAAAGGTGAGGTTTTAAGTAGCATGTTGTCCTAACTAATGCTGGACAAATAAAATAGCTGTACCTGTCTAGAAATGCCTTTTAAAAATTAAGGTTTTATGTTTCTTATGCACAGTTTCCTACAAGAAGTTGTTAAACCTGCAGCCTTTATTTCTTCTGGACTTGGGGCAGCTATTAATACAGTATTTTACTACTGTATTGCAGCAGAAGCTACTAACCCTAGTCTTGGGCCAGAAATAGGTGTATGTGGTATGGGCAGGAAAGTTTCTTTGCCTGTTGGCCAAAACTTAGGCTTAAAATGATCTCAATCAAAAACCTTAAAGTAGTTCATTAGATTTCTAGTATTGCAGTTATGAAGACACAAGCAGAAGACAAATATAATTAATGTGCTCTATAAAAGTAACTGGTATGTGGGTGAGCCAAGAGACAACAGCTCATCTTAAGAGTTAAAACATCTTGCTTAAAAACTACTTCACTTGTAACCTACTTCATAAAGGTGCTGGTCTTCCTACAGAGATATTTTTAATATTCTTTAAACCTATGGAGGATTAATCTTTCCTTAAGTTTCTTCAAGCAATATAATATGGTCTTCTGGGGTAACGAACGGTTTGTGTAAATGCAGTTGCTTAAATTGAGTCTGTGATGTGCTGACTTCATTGTTCTGGGTACAGAAGGAATGTTAGATGGGACCTCACACATGCATCTCCTTCCTGGAACATGCACTCATCAAAGGAAAGAAAATAAGCTTTGCTGGGAAGCATCTCTTAATTTTGGCCTTTGGTAGGACAACTGAAAAGCATTAAATATGAAGTGTTACATTTTTTGGTTTTATCTGTAGTAGTTTAAAAGTGGCTGAAACAACTTTTGATCTTGTAGGTATGTAAACACACGATACTCAGCTGAATATGCTTTCTGAAGGGTTCTCTTCTGGAATGTGTGTTGTGTAAACTCTGTTATGGCTCTTCCATAATGGGGATAATGAGTTGAAGTCACACATACATTCAGTATGGGACAATAGGGCTATTCAAGGAAACCAGCAAGTCTCCTTCCTGGCCTTCCCACAGGAGGAGGGATGTAGCTGAAGTGTGAGCAGAAGTGCTAGTATTCTCACCTTCCAAAAAGCTGGAGTAGGAGAAGGGTATTCTTCAGTTACCCTGTTTCACAGGGGACAGAAGCAGAAGTCAAAGGGCTCTGAAAGGAGCAGCATGTAGGCATGTATCTGTTCTTCATATCCAGGGTCAAAATAGTAATAAAAAGGTGCCTTGCAACCAGCAACAGAGAAGCTGACTTAATCACATGGAACACTTGGTAGTTTCCACATTTAAGGGTGTGGAAATCTGGCAACTGCAACTTTTGTTCTGATGTGCTTTTCTTTCTTGCAGTTTATACAAAGCCAATACCTAATTGGAGTGCTGATGCTACTGACAGAACTAGCAATTGCCCAGATACAGTGAGACTCATTTCAGCAAATCTGCACCCTGAAAAGGCTTACTGTTGGAAGATGTATGCTGAGAACCTGACTGGAAACTCACTCCTGCAGTACCTTCTTTCCTTTCATGCTGGCGGTCCAAAGGTGGATTCTTAACTCCTGCATTCAACGCTGTAACTAGCTATAATCCAACATCATGCACAGCAAAGAGAAACAGATATTTTGCCCTAAAGGGCTACAGTACAAACTTCTAGTAGCTTAAGCACTCCGTTCATTTGTGTAGATAGCAGCAAGGGCCTGAAATAAACTTTGCAAATTCTTGGATGCACTGTACTGACCGGTAATTCTGTTATTCCAAAGAGCAAGTTGGTTTTTACTTAACTAGATAGCCTAAGCTCTACAGAGCTTAGCCTTAGCTAAACTGTGACTACTCTTGGGCCAGTCTAAATGCAAACTCAAGCACACCTGATAAAGGGTGCATGCTTTACAATCCAGGGAAAAAAAAATCCAGGTTTCTGCCTTACCTTCTAGCTTGCTCAGGCCAGTTGGTAATGGTCATAAAGCATTCATCTATGTCCCAGTTAGCATGAAACTGAGATCTTCTGTTTGTGTCCAGCCTGGAGTCCTCTTGGGCAAGTTAATACAGGGAAATTGAGGTATGTGTGTAAGCTAGCTATTTACTGTGCTTTGCCTGATGTTTGTCTTGGATGTAATCATGCATGCCAGAGAGCTCTTGGCACGGGAGCTAGGGGTGCTAAAATTTTATGCTAGATCTTCCTCTTCTATAGCAGGCAGAATTCTGAGAGGTAGTGCGCAGTGCTTGGTTGTAGCTCAAATGAACAGAAAAGTAGATGAAGTACATGTTAAGTACATGTTAAGTGTACTTACTTTTGTATTACAATACTAAATAAAGAAAGTATTTTGTCATCTTTTGCCAATAGATGGGTCTTAAAGGCCACCTATGCCTGATTAAATATATACTTGTTTGGTGCTTATTTCCCACTACAGCATCTCTAATGTCCGATAAGTTGTGCTGGGACCTTTGCCCTAAGTAAGGTTGCAAGTTTTCCCTTCTTTGCCCAACCATGTAATTTTAAGATTTGTCAGCAGTCACTAGAATGTTCTTAATTCTTTTCCCCAGCACCAGAGATGAAAAACCCTGCAAACATGTTAACTGCCTAACATGACTAATGACATGCCTAGTTCCCACTCTTCTTGTAATAATTTATTTCCAGAATTATCCAAAGAAATATGCATCTGTTATGAGTTTGTTTACTACAAAAAGATGGATTATTTTTGCATGTAAGAGTTCTACACTGTGAAGTGCTAACTCGTACCTTGGTATAAAGAGCCAAGCAATCTTCTGAAGGTCTTGACAGCTCAGCAGCTATCTAAACTATCACTTCCAGGTGCTTTAATTTCCTTTTATTAAACATCTTAGCAAAATTTGTCTATCTTGATTCAGAGGAAGAGTTGGTCAAGCAGGAATAGGAGGTCTGACATAGCCGTCACCTGTATTTGATTTCAAAACAGGACTGTTACATGCATGGTGTAGATTTAAATCTAAGGCTCAGCTCTTTCCAACTAATTGCATAAATAGTCCCTAAAAACCTAAATGCCCTATAGCTTAAGTTCTTCCTTCCCTTAAGAACGCAAACTAATAGCATATAAAAGTTGACTGGTATAAGTATATGAACTACAGCCATAGTCAGTTTGCTACATAGGGGTGGTATCTATTATACCGTAACTTTAAGTTATTGATGGAATGAAAAGCTACATTATTCTCTTTTTTACATGCTTATCTGGAAATTGGGGTATAGCCCTCCATGGTAACTGCAGTAAGTGAACAGAGCTAGATCCAGCCAGGTAGTAGAGATGCTTTCTTCCAGAAAAAGCTGGTTCTGAATGATGTGCTTCTAAGCAATTGAGGATTACATAAAAGAGAGTTTTAAGCCTGTTTTACATGGACTGGTATCTGAAAAATAAACCAACATCTGTCCACATAATCTATACAAAAGCATAAGACACTGCTTTCACCCAAAGGAACAAACAAAGAACAGCATAGAAGAAATTTATTAAGATAGCACTATTTATACAAGTTACTCATGCTAGAAAAAAGCATAAATGATACATGTAAACATTTGTTTACAGAATACTTGTTTTCCTTGTAAAGGTGCAAATGATCTTCATATGTAAACACAAGAATACCGACCTTTAGGGGAAAAGGGGCTTTTAAAAAAGTTTTAATGACCCATTTATTACTGTAGTGTAACTTCCGCTATATTCAAGCACATTAAAATCTGAGTTACATGAATCAAACTATGAAGTTAAAGAACTTAAGATGTCAGCACTGCCTTTTTCATCTCAAGATTTTACAGTCCTCTTCCTCTTTTAAAATCAAATTTAATAAGGTCCAAAGTTATCAGGTGCAAAAGGTCATTCTTTCATACTCAATAAAAATTACAGTACAAACATATTGGAACCTTTATGTCTAGAGTCCCTCCTTCCTCTCCCCCTACCCTTGGACGCCCCCACAGTCACTGAAAAATTAGTTACTCACAGTGCCAGCAAACAGTCCCTCCCCTCCAAACTCCTTATGAGCCTCGTACCTTTCCCTGCTCTAAACCAACACAGGCAAAGTGCATAAAAACCACTAAAAGGGAGGGTACCATCTCATCATGGTCAGTGTTTTACAACAGGAATTCTAAGGACACAGACAAGAGGCAGGAGAACAGCTAAGATGATGCTGGTCTAAGCTTTTTTTTCAGCAGGAGCTGACTGTGGGTCTGCTGTTCTAGCAGGAACCTGAGAAGTGAGTGTTGATCTAGGCTAGTCAGAATTACCAGATGATACCTGCATTCCAGCTTCAGACAAGAACCGATATCTAGCAGGCAATGTGAAAAAAAGGTTTTAAAGTAAGCAACAACTAGTTGTTTCTAGGTTCATATACAGGGGAGGGGAGAGACAAAAGCTTAACTTTTGTACCATACACTGTACAGTAAAAAGGCATCATTTGAAATCCTTTTCACTCTCACCCTTTTTGGACACTTCACTGATTCAGTCGATAGATGAGAGTTCCAGTTCTACTTCTTGCCTCCAGCAAGAGTGAAAAGATACTCAGGGCACCCATCCTCATAGCTCTCCTGTACTCTTAAGAGACCCTAAAACATACCACAAGGGTTGGAACCACAATAGCTGGCAGGACACAGCCCTGCCTGAACCACCAGCTTCTCAAAACTCAAAAATCACACACGCACATATACATATATATTTAAAATACATATATATATATGCACACATACATATGTATATAAAAAGCTGGAATTATCGCTGTGAGCGATACAAAGAAAATACAAGGTACAAATTAAATGAAAAAATAAATATACTCTGCGCACAGAAAAGCTTCTGTGCAAAGGTGGCACCTTGCAGGTCAAGTACTTTTTTGAAGCTCTCTGTAAATAAGGCAAAAGCAATGTTTTCTGTATCACTTCCCTCTTTCGCTCACCACACAGCTGCCACATCCACTGCTCACACAGCAGGAGGGAAAGCAGGAAACCCTCCTCCTTGCCAGACTCCCAGCATAGCATGTAGTCTCTACATCAGCATTGTTTGCGCTACAGTAACTTTTACAGTTTGGTTTATTCAAAAATGTAGACTATTTAGAAAAAATACGGACATAAGCAACACTTCTACTTTTGTCCAGCGGTTCCCTGGAGTCTGACACCGTGGTCTCCCATTGGGCACACTCTCACAGAAGTCTTTTTTATAATTCCATAGAAAGAGTCACCGGCAAAGAGTTACATTGGATCTAGACCGTGCATACTAGAGCTGCAAAGAGGTCCAGTGTCAACAAGTCTCTTCAGTTTTTCTAGGAATGAGAACCAAGGGGTCTCCCTCCCTCTTGATGCTTACCATATATGGGATTCACAGTGTGTCATTTTGATAACACCTACTCCTCCTCCCAGCCGCCGGTAGTTCATCCCACCATACAACCTGCAAAGACAAGGTTTCAGTGGTCACAGGGGTTCAGCTCCTTCATGGAGCCACCATGGGAAAGACCGAACCAGCCCCTGTGAGCACAATTACACCGTTGTTAACCTCAGGTTAAAGCGGACCATGACAAGTGAGAAGTTGGGTAGCAGCTATCTTGCACACTTCCAAGGTAAACAGCTGTATTTACTCATGTCTCTCTCAAAACAGACACGGCTGCTTCTTTTGACACCACAGTTTTCTGTTACTCGAGTAATCCCTTGTTTTCTCCCTGTCTGGTAATGTGCAGGATAAGGAACGTTGCAGGCTGTAGCTGATCTTGGGCTACATTTTGGGTAACAAAAGAGCAAGGATAAGTTTGCTACTTATAATTCAGCTAATTTATTTTATATTTCTAATACCCTAAATTCAGCTGATCCAACCAAGATCATCACATCCCAAGCACCATCTGTTTCTCCAAAATGTGTTACTGAAGCGGTGCCTGCATTTCACATGGAAATCTGATCCCTATAGACTCTAGCATCCTACTCACTTCAGCTGCATATTCCCCTCTGTGCCACTTAAGTCTGCTGGCAGAAACAGGAGAAGCAAGTTCTTCAAACAACTCCTACCAATACAATTTGTTAAACCCAAATTGCCTTGGAAGCATTTGTCTATCAGGCTACACAAATAAAGTCCTTCATAGAGCAAGTTCAGTAAACAAAAGAGAAGATCGCAGATGTTGATCAGCTATACTGAATGCAGTGGGAGAAAAAACCCACAAGCTAATGCCTTGAACAACCTCTTAAACCTCTGTGAAGGCTAGCCCAGGCAGTCACTCCTAACTCTAGACAACTTATTGCTGTTACTGTCACTGGAAGCGGGTGATACCATTCAGCTAAGAAATATAAAATAGGTATTGCTTTCTATTCAACTTTTTTAAGCAGTTCAAAAGGCATCGTCCATAACTCAAACAAGGGGACGTTCCTTCACCGCTGCTTATGACAGTTTCTCTCATAGGGGAAGGGTTAATCTACTAGTATTGCTAGGCTGGAAGGAATAAGGACATTAATTTATTTCTATTCCTACTCCTGTCAGATTACTAAAGCAGCAAGAATACAGATAGGACCTTAATGTTTAATGCTAATTATATTTGGGAATAAATACGCAGGCAATTGCTTTCAAATGTAGTTATGACTAGAAAAGAAATAGGAAAAATAGGCCTTTCTGCTCAATACATGGTTTTGATCATCTATTTCATATTATTTCTCTCATCTTGTAGATTAGATGAAATTCTTCTAATTGTCGTCTTGCAGATATAAAGAGGAAGAACACTGTATGCTCAAAGTGTTCTG